GATTTTTTGGCAATTCAGCACTAACCAAATTAATTAATCGATTGATTTTTTTCTAGCAGGCTGAAATTATCGAACTTTAATTTCACTTCCTGCCATTATTGTTTTTATTGTGTTTGCTGTTTTGTAAAGCAAATGGAACAGTCACCAATTCTTTAAAAGTGCTAATTGCCTTTAATTAGCTATATTCCTGGCTAAGAGTTCGACTCTAAGTAATGGAATGGAACTGGATCGTATTGACCAAACTTTCAACTTGGCAGCTAATTTCTCTTAATCAATCTCAATTAAAATAGATTTCATTCTTTAAATCTACTGACATGGTAATAAAAGTTTGGAAATAAGGCCGTTGCAATTGCTCTTATTTACATTTTTCTTAACTTTTAGCTGTCCCTGCATCTGCGGTGGTCCTTGCTGGGGTTGCTTCGATCACAATTGGCACGGGTGTGGTTGTAATTGCGGCCTTGGTTGTGGTTGCGGTTGTGGAGGCTGCGGTGGCCTCGGATTTGGTTTCGGCTACGGAGGAAACTTCGGTGGCTGTTGTGGAGGCGGTTGTGGTGGCCGTTGTGGCTGCGGCTGTGGAAGATGCTGTTAATTTAAATAGCAAATTTCCTTCTCTCACTCTAATAAATATAGGAATATAGTTTCATCTGACTTTTCAAAAATCCTTCATTACGAATTGGCTTTTTTTATTTTGCCGATTAATTGGTAATTTTCCCATCGTTAGTGATAGTTCTTTTGTCGGTGCAATGCATTCGACGCTATGGTATTAATGGGTAAAAGTAGTGCGTACCACATATAAGTGAAAAGTAAAAGTTACGAGACGCACTGAATCGCACACAAGCTATTGGTTTGATTAAACTTCTCATTAGTCACACCGAAACGCCACAATTATCGACAAATATCTACATCCAACAGTTTAGTCATACCTCATAAAAAAGTACTTGTCTATTGCAGATAATAAAATGGACGTTAGATATTAAAAATCCAATTTTATTTAACAAAACTAATTGTTGATAAATGGCCGAGAAATTGTGACTAGGCCTGAATTAAACCATAAATTAAATTAAATTCCCTTTCCTCAATAAGTAACTTATATTTACTTCCGAGTAGACACAGCATCTAGATACAGATAGAAAAGCCAAGAATTGAATAACACCGTAATGTGTTAACTTACCAGAATGTGAGCCAGAATGCATAATTTGGTAATTTATGTACTCGATTCGAACTATTTCTATCGTCAAAGTAAGTGAAATTGATTAAAGAAGTACTGTTTAAATTTCAAAGCTAAATTTTGCGGGAAGATAAAGGAAAGAGTGGTACAAAAAAACATTCTTTTTAAATTTTGCATTTCATAATACTAGCTTTCTTCTGGCATAAAATGAATTAGACTTGAATAATGAAATAATTGGCTAGGAAGCTTCAAGAAAATTTATACCTCCATTCATAAAATTGACTTGTCGTGAAAAATATTTTCTAAAAGAAATGGACTCCTCATGCATCTGAAACGGGGTTAAGACCAGTGCGACTCAAATATCCTAACTTCCGAAGAAAACGTCACATTTCACGAAAGAACTTTTCTTATTTTATAGTCTTCTTCATTTAATGACCACACTTTTTAAACTCATATATAGTTTATGTTCAACATATTAGAGGTAAAGTATTCCCGATAACTTTGTTAATCAATGGGTTTATTAAATAATCGACGAATAGAAGACAAAGTAGGTGAATCATCGGTCAGTATGTTGCATTACCACTTTAATCGTTAAATTAACTTAAGCTAAAAATCGAGGCTTCTGCAACGAATCCCATAAAATTTATGAAGTTTAAACGAACAGGAAAATCCGTTGAGATATTTCACTTTCGGCGGCGCACACTCAAGTGAGTAGAATGACCAACCGTGCTGCTTCAAGTTGGCAAATAGAGAGGGTGAGAGAATTCGAGTCCTTCTCTAAGAATACGTTACGGTCCCACTCTCTTCCCAAAATGAGTGCCATAAAACTCTACGCTGGGTAGGCTTAGAAAAGTATTATTATACTCGAATATGTGTTTAATAAGCAGGTAAGGTTCAAGATGCCAAAAAAACTTTGGAAACCACTTGAATCTCCTCATTTGAATTTTGCGCCTGAATTTCGTCCAACCCCCCCCCCCTCGCAATTACGCACAATGACTCATAATTTCGTCAAGGTAATCTTTGTGAATGGGTTCGCATTTTAGTTCAGAAAAACGAAATTCGCCAATCATAATCAAATAGCCTCTCATCAAAAAGTGTTTATTGAATAATTAGGCACCTCCCACACATTCCACAACCAAAGTAGAACTGTAAGTCATATAATTATGAACCAGTTGGAAGTTGTGCCTCCCATCAACTTACTACTCTGCAAACAGCCTATTAAATCACAATTCGAGAATTAAGGTCCATAAGAACTCGTACTTTTACGAAAGTTTACCAAATTAGATGAAAAACATATGCCAATGGCCTCCAACACCTTAGCTAAGGAAATGCTGCTCATGAATAAGAGTCAAACTCGATAGGTCCTCTCCATATCTAAGATTCCAGGTGACCTTGCCTCTAGCAAAACTAGTGGATTCCTTAAGTCTATCGAATTTTGCAGATGAAAAGTCCTGAAAGAGCGGGTAAATTGTTAAGCAGTAAGTTTGTCCAAAACAGGTGTTTCCATATTCACCGAAAGAATAACAGCAAAAAGTTCTTAATTTCACTCATGGAAGTGCTTTCTAAAGCTCATCTTGGATGGAAAGTGATATCGTGGAACCTAAGGGGTTGGAGACTTAAATTTTGTCGTCTCCTAAATAACCCAAACGCAATCAAGTTTGTTGGTCCTTCCGCTTACTTTGTGCTAGCCTAATTCTAACTGCTATATGGTTGGTAGCGTTCAAGGTTGCTTAAAAAGTGAATAGAGGTCACATTGACAACGGACTTAATTCCTCCAATTATCCTCATCTATGACTAACTCGCTTGTCACGCCACTTCTTACTCTCCCGCTTATTAAAACTAAGTTCTCTAGTGCACTCTTGCTACTGTGGCTTATGTGTTTGCATGTTAGACCAAAGCCACATAAGTATATATTATTTATTTATATCAAATGACAGGCTTTATGCTAGTTGTCATTAGCCCTTTAGTTGACTTCAGGCTTCACAGAGGGAGAGGAACATCAAATCGAAAAAAGTCGAGAGGGGGGAATAGAAGAGTGTTTTAAAGATGTAAAAGAGACAGACACGAAGGCAGAGAAAGGGTAAGATGAGTGCTGTGTAAGTGGTCGAATATGACATACAGTGGGGTCATAATAGCTTGCACTCAGAAGTCAACTGGCGGTTTATAGACTTTTTTGCCGCATGAGTATACATTGCCCAGGGTGCACCACGTGGAGGGAAGACTATCGCACACCCCACATTAGTATATATTAAATAGTGAAAATGGCTAATCTCATTTGTTAATAAAGGTCAAAATTAAAGGGAAACAAAATCCGGGTTTCCCACAAGTGCATGTCATGGCTGAACAAAGTGACCTCATGTGATCTCAGACAAACTCTAAGTTACGGATGTGTCACTTGTCGCATAGTAAGCAAGTGGAGCGTGTGGGCCGGACACCAATTTCAGGTGTCTGTTTCCTCTATCGCTCTGCAGTCGATTAGCTAGTCCTGGGAGCCTTTCCAAGCAAGGAGAACTCGCCATAAAGATTACAGAACATAAGTTAGGGCTTATTTGAGTAGCAATCCGCTGCAAGCTCAGAGATACTTTCATTCTAACTAACTTTCGTTAGTTCACTTAAGAAGTTGCAGTTTCCAGGGC